TGTTCTGCTTTGAAACGCGCCTTCTTGTGAAATATTTTATGAAACACTTTCCACAAACGAGTTATGCAACCAGCACAACAGCTTTGATCGTTTTCATCACCAGTGATATATTCATTAGTGTTGGACTGTTTTTCCCCTGAGTGGGTCATGTGACTGTGTTCTGTGGAGGGAGCTAAAGAAAAGGACCCCAGCTCCACCATGCACCTGTCCGCAGAGGGAGGCGCAAGTATGGCGAAGGCCTGGGCACCACCTTGCCCATCCCTGGTGATCTATTTCTCAGATGTTTCTATTTCTAGTGTCTTCTGGTAGAAGAAGCAGTGGGGAGGGTCAGGAGACCATGGCCTTGAAGTTTGGGGGTAGCTGGCTGTGTATCTGTATCTGCATCTTAAGCTCACTGGACTTGTGTGGGATGAGAAGGTTCCACATCCTCTAGGCTAAGGAAGACACCAGTGAAGCCAGCGAGGGCTTTTACCTCTTCAGGAGGAGCATCTTCCTTCTAGAAGGAGGCTACTGCTTTCTAAAGTAGTGAAGTCAGGGAGTTCACTTGGATTAGAAAAGATAATCACTCACGATAGCTTTTTACCTCCCTGGTCACTGCCCAAGACTCATTGCAATACTTCTGCAGAGAGCCGTGGGTGGAGGAGATCCTACACTCTCAAACCTCATCTGCTAAGTGGCTAGGATGTTCTGGACTTGGGCCAGGGCGAGTGCATACTGTGGCGGACCCTGTCCCTAGGATTAGCCTGCCCACATAGAGCCCAGGGAAGTCTTTCCACTCAGGTAACAGGAACTGCCAGTGAGACCCTGGAGACCATCTTTGTGTTTCCAGTCAGCCTGTGCGTTTAGTTGGGTTTTCACAAGGATGGGGGAAATTGGGTTTTCATCCAATTTGCCTGCGGTTCTCACCTTAGAAGTCAATGGGATCCGACAGAAGTCTCTATCTCATCTTGCAGACCCACAGCCAACACCCAGTTGGCCTGGAAAGGTTCCAGCCTTTTCCACTCGACAGCTGTGAAAAGGGATTTTTGGGGGGGATTAGTGAGGGCTTTATTTCTTAATTTCTTAGGTTCTTTAGCCCCTGAGAGTGTCAAAAAAGAAACACACACACACACACACACACACACACACACACAAACCACACAAAAAAACCATGCTGGAGGCAGTAATTGTCTGTACACCAGCTTCCCATATCGGGGAAGAAAGGTTTTTTAAGAAAGGATTTCTCTGTGTAACCCTGACTGTCCTGGAACTTGCTCTGTGTAGATCAGGCTGGTCTTGAACCCGGGGATATGCCTGTGTCTGCCTCCCTACTGGAACTGAATTCAGGTGTGCCACTATGCCTGGTTTCCTGTGTCTTTTTCATTTTATTTGCTTAGGGCTGTCTGCTTTGGGAACTACACTGGGCACTTCTCCTCCAGGGGGTGGGGAATTGTAGGAAAATGAATGACTAAAAAGATTGGTGAATCAGAATGAGACAAATTAATCTCAGGAGAGTAACATAGAAAGTTACCAAGAAGCCCCAACCTACAGCTTGAGAGGGTTCTACAGCCAGGTATTTTGTTTGTTGAACTGGGAGGTGCGCGTGCCCCCCCCCCCACAGAAGAGTGTGGGGGCATCGATCTAGGAGGCAGATGAAAGGATGCCTTTTCTTTTATGGTGGTGCTGGTTTCTGAACTTCAGCATTGCAGGAAGACCTGGCAGCGATCCTAACAGATAGTGCCCAGGTTGGAGGCAAAGCGCATGCTTCTGCGCTCCGTCATAGCTTATCTCTCTCTTCCGAGCATAATGAACCTGGAAAGGAACCCGCCACTTGCCTTTGAGCTGGAGCCATGCCAGGCTGCCCGGGGTGGTTCTACCGGTGTGATTTCTCCTCCAGGTTTCCATGCCCTCCCTCTGCCCCCCTTCCTCCATCCTGTCTCCTCAGCCTCTCTGGAATAGGGGTGCTTGATGACAGAAAGGGAGTAGACAGCAGAGAGATATGGCAGGAAGGCTGGCCAAAGGGGCTTTCAGTGCAGACCAAAATTTGCTTTAATGGTGGTGGTTTTGGAAGAAGCCATTGGTTAGCTAGTCTTTAAAAACCTGCTAACAAATATTTCAATGTGGAGACTCTAAGGACTGTGGTGGACGCCGGTGTCCGCACTTCTGAGATGGAGGTACCAAGTGTGATGGGGAGAGCTAAGGGGTCGCTGGGAGGGGAACTCTGGAGGCCAACCCACATGCCATGCCTTTTGAGTTCGCAGAATCCCTCTGTTTGCGTAGTGTTACAAACCCATTTCTTTTTCTTCCTTCCTATTGCTTCAAGGTTCCAGAATGATCTTTCTCTGTGTGGGCAGTGATTTGCAAAGTCTGCTTGGAAAAGCTAGCTTCCTCCAAACTGTCTGCCCAGGGCTTCTCTGGGGTCTCTTGGTGGTCACCTAGTCCACCATCTGTGCATGTGACTAGACTTGGCTATTCCCTTTTAGAGCCAAGAGGGAGAAAACTACATAGGAACATGTAGCAGGTAGTCAATAAACCAAGTCTCCTATTGCTCAAAATCATACAGGAAGTTAGAGTCAGGGTTATGATGAGAAACAGGGTCCACCTTGCCCAGTGTCCAGGGTTTTCTTCATGAATAGGTTTTGTCTTATTTTAAGTAGTAGATTTATTTATTTTTAAAGATTTACTTACTGATGCATATGTGTATGTGTATACATATGCGTGTAGGTACCCTTGTAGGCCAGAAGAAGACATTGGGTCCCCTGTAGCTGGAGGTACAGGTGAGCCTCCGAATGTGGGTGTTTGTCTCCCGAAGAGCAACAAGTGCTCTTAACCACAGAGTTATGTCTCTGGTCCCATTATTATCTTTTAATCAAACAATATTCTTTAGATTCCCACTATTTGCCCCTTCTTCTGTCGGCCAATAAGAATCCCTTCCTTAGTGATCCAAATCCATTTTCCATAGCGATTCAGCCCAGGCTCAGATGTTAATCTCAGTTTATATAATTATTTATTTGTCTTTGTTGTTGGTTTTCTGAGGCAGATCTCCTATGTGGCCTAGACAATCCTCATCCTGGATATGCGCCTGCCTCATCCTCTAGCAGCCAGCATGTACCATCTGTAACTCAGCTTTTGCTTGGGTTCGTCATATTCCCGGTATAGGCCGAGACAACAGTCTAAGCCAGCATCTTTTATGTGCCAGAGTTTTATCGGTCATGAAACTCAGCTGGTCTATTTCAGAAGGTCCCACCAAAGTTTCTTGAGGGGCGGTGTAGATTCTGCATTCCTCGATATATTGCATACACTCAGAGTCACTTGGCTCCTCTCCCAGTGGACTTCCTGAAATTTTGCGAGAGAGTAATTGTTTAGGAGTGGGGGGGGGCATAAGCAGTACTTCCTGCCTTTCTCGGGGATTCCTGGGAAACCCAGGAGTGGGTGGTTCTTGTGTCATGGAAGGGGGGGTAGAGACTGGAAAGAACTGGAAACCACCAAAGGTTCCTCAGGCTATGGTACGGAGGGCACGTCTCTGCTCGCAGGGAGACTGCCACCCTGTCACCAAAACCATGCCGACCCAGCGGGCCTCAGCAGATGCAGTTGACATGGAGAAGGTGGAAGGAGGGATGAAGAGACAGAGTCCCCTGACCCGCAGCTGTCAGGCTTCCGGGCTTCCCAGATGGGAACTGATACAGAAATAAAGAGCAAACTTTGGAGATCAATTCAAGGATGTCACGTGTTTTGCTCTTTTGAGGTGGGGAGTGTTAAGGATACCATTTAGAATCCTAGTCATCTCAAAGGAAATGCTGATAGTCCGGCGTGGTGGAAAAGCAAAGGATTTATAAACATTTGCTCTAGTAAGCTTTTGTGTGTTCCTGTGTTTGTTTTGGTTGGTTGATTTTGTGTACACCCAGGCTGAGTTCAAATATGATCCTCCTGCCTCACCCTCCCAATGGCTGAGATCACAGTGCACGCACTACACCTGGGCACCGAAGATTATTTTCTGGTTTCGGGTTTTGATTGTTTGTGTGTTTTGTTTTTGTAGTTTTTGTTTGTTTGTTACAGGGTCATATTGTTCATCAGAACAACTGGGACTGTTTATAAGCGACCCCGCCCCCCCAGATCAGGCTGCTGACTATTGACATTCCCACATAGTAGGGGTGAGGAGGGTCATTAGACCCTCCCCCAAGATCCTTGTCATTCCCTCTGTACCTTCTGGCCAATTGTAGACAATTCTGACCCCATTATGTGTGTACAGACCACGGACAATTAACTGGAGGGGGCACTCTATAGAGGGGTGGGGAAGTCATCATCAGTGCTGGGTAAAGATTTTCCAGTATGACTGATTTGGGGTCCCTTATTCTCCTGTATGTGCCCCTCCTGTGCTCTGTAAGTAAACCTGTTAAACTCACTGTTTTCCCAGAGTGCACTTTGGTGGAATCATATTTGGTTTGTTGTTGGGGCCTTATAAGGCAAAGACAGGCTGTATTTATATCTCTCCCAAGGCAAGAATTCTTTTTTTAAAAATTTGTTTATTTTTATTTTATGTGCATTGGTATCTTGCCTGCATGGATGTCTGTGTGAGGATGTCTGATCTTGGAGTTTCAGACAGTTGTGAGCTGCCCTGTGGGTGCTGGGAATTGAACCCAGGTCCTTTGGTAGAGCAGACAGTGCTCTTAACCACTGTGCCATCTCTCCAGCCTTGGCAAGAATTCTTATATAAGCCCCGAAACTCACCATGTAGCCTAGACTGGCCTTAAACTCATGGCAGTCCTCCTGCCTCAGCCTTCTAAGCACTGGTGTCACAAGAATGCACCACCATCTCTGGTTAGCTTTCTCATTACAAACTGCCTTGCAGACGGGTCCTGTAGAATCCTCTTGGGACCCATCCATGCCTTCAGTCCAGGGGATTCTGGGCTACCTGCTTCCTTTCCAGACTTGTCACTCATCTCCTGCTTTAGCCTTCACAGTGCTGTTTCTGTCTGCTGGGGGTGCCCAGGACTCACCTTCTCCTTCTGCCTCTATTGCAGATTAAGACAGAGGATCTGGGTGACTCTCTACAGCAGACCCTTTCCCACAGGCCATGCCACCTGAGTCAAGGGCCTACCATGATGCCTGGAAACCAAATGTCTGGGGTAGGTGCCAGCCCGTGCCACAGACCCTGCTATACTTTCTAGGTTGGTGAGTCTGTTTCAGCCCCGTCTACAAAATGTTGGCTCTCTATACTTATTACCCTGTGAATTCATTCAAGGAGCCCCCATTGCAAGCATAGGAGGCCTGGAAGTATGTGTGTGGGGTTTCCAAAGCCAGTCCTTGCAGAAGTGAGACCTGGTGAGGGACACAAAGGGACATGTCAGTGCCTTTGCAGTACCAAAAGCTAGTCTTGGCAAAAAGGATCCAACAGCTATGTTGCAACACTGAGGGCCTCCCGTGATTAATGCTGAGTAGTGACAGACCGTCTCTGTCTCCAGTGGGCACACTCGGCCTCCATCAAGATTATATGACAAAGCTAAACTAGCGAGGAGGGCTCGCATCTGGAGAGCAGTGAGCCTCAGCCCAGTAGCATAGAAGTTTCCAGGGGATCTTGTGGTTCATCCAGGGAAGAAAGATCTAATTTCTGAGCCATTCCTGCGACTGGCATGTGTCACCTCCTTCATTCTTGGAGGTTTGTCAAATGTGTATGCCACAGGTCTCTCAGGTCTGTGGGATCTGGAACCCCCAGATGCTGGGATTCACCGTGTGTATGTCTTGAGGCGGTGAGGGAAGCTTAGAGCAGTGAACATTCTGTTTAATATTAAAAACTAAGCCTGGGGCAGTACTTGGTGGTACACACCTTTAATCCGAGTACTCAGGAGGCAGAGGCAGGTGGATCTCTGTGAATTCAAGGTTAGCCTGGACTATGGAGAAAACTCCAGGCCAACTCGCATTACATAATAAAGAGACCCTGTCTCAAAACAAAGCATCAAAGTCAGGCATGATAGTGTATGCCTGTAACCCCAGTGCTTGCCAAGTTGAGGCAGAAGAAATAGCTGCAAATTCAAGGACCTCCTGGTCTATGCAGTGAGTTTGCAACCTTTGTTGCTAGAGAGCAAGACCTTGTCTTAAATAAAACAACAACAAAATAATGCCTAGTTTTGCTCCATCTTCTAGTACTTTCTAGAAAGATTTGGGTACAAGAAATAATTGAAGAGTGGCTTTTAGCATAATCGAGTGACAAGACGGTTGAGGAAAATGTACAGTTGGGATTGCTACCACTTCTAGATAAGCCTGTGTAGCATGGGTAATACCTACTGTTGGTCCTCAGGGCGTCTACAACTGGGAGTCAGGACAAACGAAAACATTAGGACAGAGTTAAGAAACTGTTTGCTTCAGGGACTGCTTGGTGGATTGCAGGAGTAACACCAGCATTAATGTCTAGCTACTGCGTGCCATGTGTTGAGGACACATGGCAACACGAAGCAAGGACACTGCCCACAACCTCCCAGAGTTTGCAATCCCAGGCACTGCAGGAGCTGTAGGTCAATAGGCTTCAGGTTCCCCGATTGTAGGCTCTATAACATCTGTGCATCTCCCCACTACAGGACATGGCTTCTCTCCATCCACTCCAACAGCTTGTGCTAGTCCCTGGTCACTTACAGTCTGTATCCCAGTTCCTGCTTTCCCAGACCCCACCTGGACAGCAAGGTAAGGTCCCTGGGCTTTGTATAATCATTGCCTGAGTCTAGAAAGGGCTGATGTTGCTTACTGGGCAGGGGGTGGGGGAGAGAGGGGAGACAGAGAAATTGCTCACCCCTCTGGTATGAAAACTAACTTGGAACTGGGAATAGCTCTCATCTGAGAGAAAGTTTACGTAGCATCCAGGATGCCATAGTGGCATCTTTAATCCCAGCACACATGTAAGCAGAGACAGGAGGCTGATCCTTGGCTACACAGCAAGTTTGAAGACAGTCTGGGCTATATGAAATCCTATCTGAAAAAGACCAGCTTTTCTGCCTGGGACCTAGGAAGGGGTTCCTAGGGATGGGTACGGGGGGGGGGGGGGCGCCAGATTCTTCATCTTCCTCGTTTCACCTCTCTGCTCTGGCTCTTGCTGAGACTTCGTTTTCATAGGAACCGACTCTAAAGGTGCAGGATGGTGGGTGTGGGGTGGAGGTGACATGAGGGAGAAGCAGCTAGCTCCCAGGGATTCCTTTGGAAGTCTGGCTTGCACTGAGCCTTTCCCCTCCCATTGGCCTGGCTATGATTCTGTCTGGATGGAACAGCAGTGCCTCCCACAGGCTACAGAAAATAGGTCTGATTGTCTTTGGCAGGGAAATGACTCCCAAGCTTTGAGCAAACACATCAGAGCATTAATAACACTAAGTATCATTGCTTAACATGCCCGGGAGTCTGTTGAATTGCTTTCCTGGCTTATTCCTCAGAGTAAACTTGTGCTATAGATAGCCCTACTGCATGCTGATGGACATACTAGAAAGTTCCAAAAGAATCTAAGATCCATGTTCTAGATGACCGCACTATACTGCTTGTCTTTGCATTCACCACTGCCAAACAGGGCTGAAAATGCTATCGGAAGTATAACCTTTCCATAGCTCATACTCTAGAGGAGAATTTGAAAGTCCAGGTAACTGTTTTCTACACTGGTTACCTGCCTAAGACACAGATCCTATGCTTAGCCTGCCTGGAGTCTCAGACTGGCGCTAGGATGAATGGAAACACATCTGAGTGTTTATTTTGGCTAGCCAACACCCATCATACTCCTGGACTAGGAAAGAGAAGATAAGCATTGGTTCAGTTTATTTCTAGAAGACTCCAAGTGACGTGAACATGGCCCAGGCACAGAATTCACAGGCATTGGCATATTATATACAATGGAGGGGACAGAAAAACAGGCTAAATTTGAAGTCAGAGAAACTCTTAAAAAAAATACTAGCTATGCTTCTTTAGAAAACTTACACAATCTCTACATGTTTCCTCTGCTACAAAAAGGAAATAAAGCTCTGCACCCCAAAGTTATTATTGATGGGTACTTGGGCAGTGTAAGTAAATTAATACTCCAGCTTCCTCATTCCTAGACCAGGGTTCCTCCAAGATCTCTCTTACCTTTTGACCTTTGGGGCAGAAAGGTCAACTCTAGCAACTGTGGTACCTCAGTGACCCAGAACTGTCTGGGGACAACAGATATGCCAAGGGGTTCCTCTATGCTGAGTGGCAGAGATGTTCTACTCCCATTGTCGGCCTTGCTGCTTTGAGGGCTCCCCCACTGCTCGGAGTGAGAACTGCTGACTCTGGCCATCTGAAGACAAGAGCTACTGATCACAGTCATCAGAAGGGCAGAGCCTTTTCTTGGTAGTTTTTCTGAAGCTGGAGGGAGAGGGAGGTCCCTAGGCAAGGTAACATGTAGATAGAGTCTACACTGCCCAAAGGGAGTTTTGAAGTCCCCAGCATCTGGCCTTCCCTTTGCTCTCAGGCCTCCTTCCAATGAATTTAATGACCTGGTCACTAAGAGCCTCTAACCAATGACCCAGTGCCCTTCTGAGCAATATGGCGCCAGCTGCTTGCTCTACTCTTACAGAGCTGGTGGGCCTAAACATCCCAGCTGCTTTCCCTTGCGGACAGCTTGAACCACTCTGGTCCCCCGGGGCTCTGTAGTCATTCCCGTGTCCTTGCCCCTCTGGGCAGATCCCAGGGAGAGTGTCCGGACCCTCCTCTGCATTAGCAGCTCTCAGCAGGCAGGCAGGCAGGCAGGCAGGACAGGTTTGGGGACTGCTGTTTACATCTGTTTATCTCTGAGTCTGGTTGGCCTCCACCTGTATGTGGCAATTCCTGGCAGTGCCCACAGGGCCTTTCAGTCGAGCTTAAGTTGGGTTGTGGGGCCTGATGAGGTGAGCTGGAGGAGGGGGCAGCTAACATGATTTCAGTGTCCAGCTGGTCTTTCAAATGGCCTGGATTTTGTTTGTTTTGTTTTGTTTTGTTTGTTTGTTCCTTTGTCCCTCCCCTGTCACTCAGGTCTGCAGCCGAATCTTCTCTCCTTTCCACAGCAACAAAGCACTCTACTCCTCCCACAGACAGGGCCTGGCCTCGCCTCCCAGGTAACTGCCAACCCCCTCCTCCTGCATCTTCATAGATTCTCAGACTTCCTGCCTCTTTAGGGCAGGACACTTGCTCCTTAGGGCCTCTCCCTGTTGGCATCTGGGAAAACCCCAAGCTATTCCTAAGGAGGTAGGTTTTCCTGTCACTAAAATGTGGCTCTTCGGCTGGCCTTATATCTGCTATGGATACATAATTCCAGTCATGTCAGGTTCGAGCTTCACCGCTCTAAGAACTTAGCCAGCTACTGCTACTCAGGATACTAAGCTACACCCACTCCAAGTTCCACCCAGATGCCATCAAGTCCCAAGAAGGGTAGGACAGCAAAGACAGTATCTCGCCTCAGGACCACTTCAACTGCGCTCCAATGGGACAAGCAGGCTGTCTAATAGGAGGGCCCTGCGCCTACCTGCTTTGAAGCATCACACACACACACACACACACACACACACACACACACACACACCACCTGTTTGTCAATTAGGAAATAAAAAATAAAAGTCTGTTTCTTGCAAGTCTTGCCAGCCTCATGCCAGGGTGTCTCCAGGACATCAGATGCATTATTTGTTTCTACAAGGGATGACTGGAAATGACTACAGAGTCTTGTACTATTCCTTCTCTTGGTCTAAAATCTCCCAGGACCAATGCCCACAGAAAATAACTAGAAGGAGAGCGCCACCTAGTGGTTGGAAGAAATGGGAACAGCTAAGTTGGATGCTGCACTTTTCTTCTGGCTGCATCCAAGAACGGCATAGTTATAGAACCTGATCTATATGACACTGAGGTCCTAGAGCGTACCCAGGACCTACTCAAGAGACTTGAGATAAATAGTCCAATTAGAAGACAATTAAGGTCTTTCTACTTGGGGTGCCAAGGTTTCTGTCTGTAGTCCTAGCTACCAGGGAGACGAAGGTAAGAGAATTACTTGTTGAAGACCAGCTTGGCTGTCTGTAAGTAAATGAGTAGAGGAGTCCTCCTGGAGTATGATGACTGACCAGCAGTCACAGAAGCAAGGGCAGAGAGGGATAAGTGAACGGCATCTGGGACGTCAAAGTGATGCAATTGGGCAAGTGATGGGATTGTGGGGGAGGAGGGGAATGTGTAGCTCAAAGTTCTTGTCAAATGCAATAGCAAGTGAATTTACAGAAAGGAGTGTTCCAGGATGACCAGAGCTTTGTTCTGGGGATCTGGTCGGGGCTACCTCTCTCTGCTCCCATCCTCATCTCCTGCCAAACAGGACCCATCTGTGGTGTTTCTAGTCACTCCAATCTAGGAGACTGACTCCTCCTCCTCGTAAGGATGCCTATCTCTGGGAAGCAGAACAGGGGAGAGGATTGAACTTCCTCTAAGGAATAAAGAAAACCAGGAAGGAGAGACAGGGAGACAGGGGATTTCCGCTCATTGTCCTCCCAGGCAGTGTGCAGTTCTGTGCTAGACACAGTCCCTGGCTCCCAGATCTAGACTGCACGCCATCTTGGTGGGATAATAGATAGATCAGGCGGCTGGAGAAGAGGCTCGGGGGTTAGGATCCCTTGCTGTTCTTGCAGAGGGCTTCGGTTTGCTTCCCAGCACCCACATGTAGACTCACAACCATCTGTAAGAACTCCCGTTCTAGGGGATCAGATTCCCTCTTCTGGCCTCCAAGGGTCCCAGGCACACATGTGGTGCATTGACACACAGGCAGACAGAACACCTGTACACATAAGTCTTTTTAAAAATGGACATTTTAAGCTAGCTATATTCTTGATCTCGTGTGAATGCAGCATGGCCCTAAATTAGATGGTAGATTTTCCTATGAAAACAGACTAAAGAAGAGATATCTCCTGGCAAGGTATGTTGAGATAGCAGTAGTTAAGACAAATAAACAAAAAACTTTGCTTGGGGCCGGAGAGATGGCCCAGCATTCTACTCATTCCCAACACTCACATAGTGACCAGTCTAGGAGATCAAACATCCGGTTTCTTGCTTCCACAGGCCATGGATACACTTGCATGCATGCATACATACATATATGCAAACCACCCAAACACATAAAATAAAAACAAATAAATCTTTCAAAACCACCTTTGATTAAAACTTAACCCTCTCCAAGAATGGTGGTGTTTATCTGTAAAGCCTAGTACTGCAGAGGCAGGAGGATTGTGAGGACCAGTCAGATTGGGTGACAAAGCAAGACCTTTTCTCCACCCCCACCCAAAATGGATACATAAAATAAACTCACAACATTCTCATTAAAGAAAACTGGTAGAGGCTGGGTGGTGGTGGCACACGCCTTTAATCCCAGCACTTGGGAGGCAGAGGCAGGCAGATCTCTGTGAGGTCAAAGCCAGTCTGGTCAACAAGAGCTAGTTCCAGGACAGGCTCCAGAGTCACAGAGAAACCCTGTCTCAAAAAACCAAACCAAACCCCTCCCTGCAAAAAAAGAAAAGACAACTGCTCTAGCAGGAAAAGTAACACTCATAACTATATCTTGAATTTCCAGATGTCCCCCACTATCCTCAGTCTGGGACTGTTGTGCCTCTATCACCTTGCTCTGTGGAAAAGAACAGGCAAATAACCTTTTCCTTGTCCCGTGCTGGGATTTATCCCATGCTGAGATCTCAGATCTTGTAGTAAACAACCCTGCCAGTTCCTTTTATGGCGGAAAGCTAACAAGGGGAAGTCACCTACTCTGAGTCAGTGAGTCACAGACCAACACCCAAAGAGGCCACCTCCTCGTCCTGCTTCTTTCTGCTTCTTCTCAGGGTATGCAGTGTTGGATCCAGATTCATAGAAATACCAATCTCTATTGCAGCGATAAGGCTCAGCATGCTCCAGGACATGTCACCCTGGAAGTGAACTATTAGTAACAAACGTAGAGGCCTGTGCTTGGCCTGCTGAGACACTGGCTCACCCCAGCTTGTGTTCCTTATCAGGCAGTTGGACGCCCTGGGCTGTCGGGATCCTCTTTAGAGCCCCATCTGGAAGCCCCTCAGCATCTACCAGTGCCCAAACATCTACCTGGCCCTGGAGGGACTGATGAGCCCAGTGACCTGGAGGAACTGGAGAAGTTTGCCAAGACCTTCAAGCAGAGGCGCATTAAGCTGGGCTTCACACAGGTTTGCTTTGGGAGCAACGGACGGAAGAACTGGGTTCTGTGACAGCGGCTGGGCTTCCCAAGTGCAGCCTTCAGGAGTGTCCTGATGCCAGTTTGGAGCGCGTTCACGGCATCCTGCTCCCTGCCAATAGAGGACAGGTCACTAGTGGGAAGGAAAGCGAGGGCATTGTAGGGAGGAAGAGACAGGAATAAAGACCAGGCAAGGGCGTGGTCCATTCAGAGTGTAAGGCAAGAAATAAGCCAGTTTTGTATCCTAGAGGAAAAAGCTCTGGGAAGGTGCAAGGTCGTGGGCAGATGTTCAGAGCTCTGCCTGTATGGGAAGCATTGGGGCCATAGAGAACACAGGCAAAACAGAGACATCTGTCCCTCACCTTCCTCCCTCTCAATGCCTCTTGCAGGGAGATGTGGGACTGGCAATGGGGAAGCTGTATGGTAATGACTTCAGCCAGACTACCATCTCTCGATTTGAGGCCCTCAATCTGAGCTTCAAGAACATGTGTAAACTCAAGCCACTGCTGGAGAAGTGGCTGAATGATGCAGGTGGGTGACAGAGAAATGAGAAATGAGCATGGAGGGGGCCCCAGGAGATTTCACAGGGGTGATTCTAGGGGTGTGTGTGTGACGGGGCTTGACTAAGTCAAGGCATAGAATAGCCTTTTTCCCCTTTTGAGCCTGGCATGAACAAAAAGGTAAAATCCAGGAGAATGGTAAGCAGAGATGAAAAATGTGTCTTTTTCTTTTTTTTTTAATCCCGAAGGAACCTTTTGGCAGATGTGGCTCATCTGTAACAGGGCAACTTGCTTCCCTTCCTTTCCCTTCCCTTCCCTTCCCTTCCCTTCCCTTCCCTTCCCTTCCCTTCCCTTCCCTTCCCTTCCTTTCCCTTCCCTTCCCTTTCTTTCTTTTTAATCCCTTGCCCCAGAGCTACCTATCCTATATTTCAAGACAACAGTTTAGAGGCTAAATTTAATCCATTTACTCAAATTGTTGTAGGGATCAGCCTAGGTCAGAAGACGGCAAAGAGGGCCCTGCAGGGACCCTCTGAGGCAAAAGAACCAGACCTAGCTCAGGTCTTTATTTGGCTGTTCTGGAGCAGAATAGGCAGTTGCTGTGGTGAGGACTGGCCAGAAAAGCCTGTCAGCAGGAAGGGTGATGAGGAAGTAGGTTTGTCAGGATCCGGGACTGCCAGGAGGTCAAGGGGGTAAGAAAAGTGTCAGGGCATTTGGAATGATGACCAGAACTTGGCATTTAGGAAGAATGAAAAGTAGGACTTCTGACATTTGGACCGAGTGAAATTGTTCATTCTTGGGAGCTGACCTCGGCCTGGGAGGTGAGCAGCCTGAATCTCTACCTACTCTAGCATCTGCTTCACCGCCCCAGTTGAGAGACCTCCCAGAATATCTCCATACATTGCCAAGTGTGTGGTGCAGGGTAGCCCCTGGCCCATGTGAAGAGGAAAGGAATAAGCCCCTCTCCAAGGCTAAGCTCAGTCAAATAGGAGTGTAGGTTATGAATTACTACTCCAGAGTTAAGGGCAGGAGGAATAGCTTAGGTGTCCAGGCTGGGTCCCTTTAAGGGAGTCCCCTCACTCAGAAGAATGTGTGGGAGTCCTCTTCCTCCTCCTCCTAAATACACTGCTCCTGAGACAACTTTTACTGAAACATCCAAATAGTAGAAATGATGGAAGCTCCTAGAATCTTTGGGAAAGGGTTTGAGGACTCATCATTACTATAACTTTTCCCCACCCTGCGGCCTTGGCTTCCACCTTTCACTCGAGGACAAACGTCTTCGGAACTAGCATAGGTTCCTACGTGCCTGAGAAAACCCATTTCACTCAGTACTCAAAGAGGGTCATATCTTTTAAAACAGGTCAGACCATGTGACTCATAGTTCCACCTCATCCCCCACACCCACGCTGGCCACTGAGGCCTAGGCATCCCTGAACTGTAGCGGCAAACACATGGAGACTCTGTGGTAGGAGCCCTGGGGGGACATTCATCCAGAGCATCCTGGAGAAGCAGGACTTGATCTGTTCTGGATTCTCTGCTGGGGTCAAGGCTAATTCTGAATATAGCCCTGCAGAGTCCATGGGAAGGGTTGAGAAACCTCAGGTTTACTCCGGCAGACTGGGCCAGCCACACATCTCTGTCTCTGAGCTTCATTTGTTCCTCTCTCCAGAGTCCTCCCCATCAGACCCTTCGGCAAACACACCCAGCTCCTACCCTACTCTCAGCGAAGTATTTGGCAGGAAGAGGAAGAAACGGACCAGCATCGAGACCAACATCCGCCTGACACTTGAGAAGCGATTTCAAGATGTGAGCAACCAACCTCCTAGGGTGGGAGTGGGTGGGCCAGCTTGTGCAGGTAGGTTAGCAGGTCCCACATATGCAGGAAGCTGGCTCAGTGCAAGATGCTAAACACTACTCTCCCCTGCTACACAAGCGCCTGTCTTGGGAGGAAACCTAGTCACTCTTCTCTAGGAGCCCAGAAATGCTGACTTTCTTCGAGAGTTCCAGAAAACTCTTTTCCTTGTTGACATGTATTCGGGTCTCGTTATTCTTCTCACTGGAAGATTCAAGAATGAACACAGCATCCCAGTAGGGCGTGTGTTTCTGTATACATTTGAAGTAACAAGAGAAAGCCAGGGCATTATGTAAAAGACTCCATCTCTTTTGAAACAAATTTTACTTTTCAATTTAAAAGTATAATAAAGGGCTGGCAAGATGGCTTAGAGAGGGGAAAAAGAGTGTTTGTAGCCAAGCCTGGTGACCTGAGTTCAGTCCCTAGAATCCACATGGTAGAAGGAGTACCAGTTCCTGCAAGTTGCCCCCCTGAACTCCATCTTCCTTTGCCATAGTTTATGCCCCATTCTCAAATAAATAAACATTAAATTTTTAAAAAGATTTTTCTAAATTTTTTTCTTTTTTTCTTTATATTTTTTCTTTTTTTTTCAAAGTTTATTAAATTATAAAAGTTTCCATTTCCGCCCCTCCTCCCAACACCCTCCCACTCCCCCTACTCCCTCTCCTCCTCCCTCTCCATCCCTAAGAGTAGTCAGGGTTTCCTGCCCTGTGGGAAGTTCAAGTTCCTCCCCCCTCCCTCCAGGTCCAGGAAGGTGAGTATCCAAACAGACTGGATCCCAAATATCCAGTATATGCAGAGGAAACAAGTCCCAGTGTCATTGTCAATGGCTTTTCAGAAAGACTCCGGGCCAGCCACATTCAGAGAATCTGGTTGGATCACGTGCTCATTCAGTCCCAGTCCAACTGGCCTTGGTGAACTCTCATTAGATCAGTCCCCTTGTATCAGTGGGTGATCGCACCCCTCATGGTCCTGATTTCCTTTTTCATGTTCTTCCTCCTTCTGCTCCTCATTTGGACCTTAGGGGTTTTCTAAATTTTTTAAAAAATATTTTTTAACTTAAAAAATAATACAGTTGCCGGGCAGTGGCGTTGCACGCCTTTAATCCCAGCACTCAGAAGGCAGAGCCAGGTGGATCTCTGTGAGTTCAAGGCCAGCCTGGTCTACAAGAGCTAGTTCCAGGACAGGCCCCAAAGCTACAGAGAAACCCTGTCTTGAAAAAAACAAAAAAACCCCAAACAAAAAAATAATGCAGTCAATGTTCATTAATAACAATTTGGAAAACATTAGGAAGAAAAGTAGAAAGAAAAGACGGCGCATTGCCTTTTGTTTTTGTTTTGCCTCTTGTCTGCCTGTCTTGTCTTTGCTTTTTAAGATACGGTCCCACACTGGAGTTTACCTAGGCTGACCTGTATCTAACACTATGTAGCCCAGGCTGGCCTCAGACTCATGCCGATCTTCTTTGTGTCTGCCCCCAAGTGTTAGGATTATAGGCTTGTGCCACCACCCAGCTTCCAGTGCCTTCTGAAAGCAATTGTAGTGTTGCTCTTCGTGTTCATTTAGACACTTGGGGTTAGACTGCACAAGGCTCTTTTTGTTCCACCAATTAGAATGGTTTGCTTCTTACAGTTATTTTTAAAACATGCATTCTTTTTTTTTTAATTAAAAGTTTTCAAATCTTTCCATGTTCTCAATTAGATATTCTAGCCGTCAATTCTAAATAAACATTCTTCTCAAGGATAGCCAGAGCATATTCTTGAAGGCAGTGTGTGCAGGCTGTGAGCCTCGTGGGAGCCGGGGAGGAGTGAGAAGAGGGAAATACAGGTGATAACAGCGGACCTCTGTGGGGATCTGTCGTGTAGCTTCCCCTAGAGCCTCGCTGGTTACTGAACACGACTCAGTCTAGCCCTGTAGATCCTGGCTGCTAGGACTGCTGGTCTGGAGCAGATTCCCCACTGAGTCTGGCTCAGGGATTCCGTGGCTGCATCCTGCCAGCAGGATGACTGGAGTTGAGTTTCCCATCTTTTGAGTTTCTGAGAGCAGTATAGTTAAAGGTGAGGGATACAAGAATGAGGGAAAGGGGCTCAAGCCACAGACTGGGTGGCAGGTCAGCGGGACAGAGCGATGACATCATATGGCCTGCAGCTCTCCCACAGACCTGGTGGGCCTGAGCAGTCCAGCCTCCAGTTTTCTAGGAAGAGATGTAACAGGAAAGGTCATGAGGAAGGACTCAGGAGGGAGGTTTTCCTCAAGAACTCTACTTCTCCTCCATAATTCACCCACGGAGGGCTTGCCGTGGGAATTCTCCAAAGGGAAGGAGGACAGGAAGGGACCAACCTTTTGCATCCTCTCATCCATTCCAGCCCTGTGCTTGATGGTGTACACATACTTTCTCTTGTAGCCCATACCATAGTTCTGCATGCTAGGCAGGTAGTCTCACTCTGTATCTGGAAAGACTGGGGCTCAGAGGTAAAGGGAATTGCTACCGACGCTCAGTGCACAGATGATAAAGTCAGTATTCCACCCTTGGTCTGACTCTAAGGCGTTTGACCCATATGTTCAGTGTTTTGTGTTTGGAACGTCTGACCCTCACCTCTAACTTCTGCCCCTGTTTCTGTCTCCTGACCACACCCTATCCCTCTGTCCCTATAGAACCCTAAACCCAGCTCAGAAGAGATTTCCATGATCGCAGAGCAGTTGTCCATGGAGAAGGAGGTGGTCAGGGTCTGGTTCTGCAATCGACGGCAAAAGGAAAAGAGAATCAACTGCCCTGTGGCCACGCCCATCAAGCCACCCATCTACAACCCCCGGCTGGTAAGTGACTTGGAGCTAGGCTGGCAGGCTGGCTGCCAAATACTCGGGGGACATGTACGTGGAGGCCAAGAGTCTTCCATACCACAACATGGTAGGTTGTGGGTAGGGGAGATTCAGTATATGAATAAACAAAGAGATACAACATATAAAATATGCATAATCTAAGAAGATTAAAGAGGAGTGGAAGGGAAGGGGGGCTGTTGGGATGGTTCAGCCAGTAAAGATGCTTGCTGCTCAACCTGATGATCCAGTTTCCATGTCTGGGATCCCCATGGTGGAAGAAGACAGCCAATTCCCAAAAGCTGACCTCTGACCTCTCACACATGCTATGTGTCACTTACATGCCCACACATATATGTAGCATGAATAAAGTGTAATACAATCAAAAAACAACAACAAGAACAAGACGATTGGTGTGTTTTCGCCTTTTTAACAGGAAGGTTAGAGGTGCCCTGTCTGATTAGGTGGTATTTGAATGAAAATCTAAACTTTGAAAGGGGATTGAATAATATGTATATCTAGGGGAAAGAGTATTCAAGGTGGAGGGACCACCAAGGAAGTCTATGCAAAGGGTCAAAAGGCAGATGAATTCAGAGAAGTAGCAGAAAATAGACTACCTCAGGCCTTGGAGTTCAGTGAGAGGACTTCAGTTGACTCGAATAAGAAGGTGTTGGAAAAGCCTGGATGTATAAATCTGAGCTGGTTGACATGGGCTGCTGAGTGGAGAATAACTCGGGAAGCCGGAGACATGCCAGAAGACAGCCATCAGGCTGAGCAGAGGAGGTGTGGAGGGTGGTAGCCATGGTGATGAGAGTAAATGCTTGGACTCTGTATGTTCTTCAGCTGTGAAGCCAATAAGATTTGCTAATCGCTCAGATTCAAAAAGCAGATCAGCAGGCTGTTTTTTCCTGGGATACTTGTTGGTTTCATTTTGTTTGTTTTATGGTACAGGGTCTCAAGTAGCCCAAACCAGCCCTGAGCACACTGTGTAGTTGAGGGTGACCTCTATCTCCTAGATCCTGGGATTATAGGTATGCACCAGCACACCTGGTTTTTCTGGTGCTAGATATGGAACCCAGGGCCTCCTGTATGCTAGGCAAACATGCTACCAACTGAGCTACTTGAGTACTGGATGCATGTGGTTGGCACTACCCTTTTAAAAAATGTCGGTCTGGACATGGTAGCACATACCTTTAATCCCAGCACCTGAGGGGCAGAGGCAGGCGGATCTCTGTGAGTTTAAGACTGGAATGATGTACATAGTGAGTTCCAGGACAGCCAAAACTACCTAGAAGGACCCTGTCTCCAAATAATGATGATTATGATGATGATGATGATAATAATAATAATAATAATAAAATTTGAAAGACTGAACGAAGAGCAGGCTTGAAAGACAAAGACAGCTGAGAATCTGGGACCATTTATATTAAGTTGTGTGTGCTTTGTGGTACCCAAAAGGCAGTACCTAGATGGGGTTAAATCTTAGCCTCTGGTGTTCCAGGAAAAGCCAAGGCTGAGAATAACTTGAGGTTCTAGGGAGACACAGAGGATTGGGAATTAGAATGTGTCCTGCTCCGTCTAGGGAGAGATGGGATGTGGTCAATGGTGTAGCGTTTTCCATCTTTGGTAGCAGTGGTGGTAAAAGGGTAGAGAAGCTGGATAAAATGACATCCTCTAGTTTTCCGGCAGGCTGGTTGCAGGCTGGGTAAGACCTACATAAAAAAACTCACACATTGTTGATTTCCCCTATATATCCACAGACCAGCTCTATGTTGGTCTTTGTGCCAAGTGCCAAATAGATGCCATTTATTCCCAGTGCCAGGGGACCTCATTGTCTAGCAGAGGCTACACACAAGTAAACAAGAGTCAAACAGCAGAATCATTTCTCTAAGCAACCTTAGGAGCAGCCGCTAACACACCTAGGGGAGGGTGGCTAGGAAGGCTTCCCCATGGGAGGTCATTAGTGCCCGAGTTGAGGCAGGTAAGTGTGAGGTGGAGCTGACTCCAGGGGAAGTGTGAGAACAGCTAGGTGGGAAAAAATACACAGCAAGTTCATGGAACTTCAGGTGGTTCCATGTAGAGGAATGTTGGAAGGTGAAGCTGACCTGGTCATAGGACAGGGGATAGAGGAGGGTGTCAAGAGATAAACAAGGGTTAGGGGTGTGGTTTAGTTGGTAGAGTGCTTGCCTACTATGCATGAAGCCCTGAGCTCCATCTACAGCACCACTGTGGAGTCTCAGCACCTGGGGTGGCTCAGAAGTACATGGTTATCCTTAGTTAGCAAATATATGAGGCCCTACATCAAAAACAACAAAAATATAAGCAAAAGGCCTCGGTTAATAAACTCAGAGCTGGCTTGGGGCAGGGAGAGCGGTGGAAGGGGAACCCTGGAGATGACTCAGAGTGTTCCGGCTGGGCTAGCTGGGCAGATGGTAGCAGTCTGTGTGGACCTAGCAAACAGGACCAGCTGGTTTTGGGGTGCGGAAAGGTAGTACTCTAGTTCTTTGCATCGTCATGATGTAGGCCTGCAGCACACTTAAGTGGGACTGCCCCTGGAGTCTTGGGATGATGGCTACGGAGGCCAGGAGAGAAGCTGGGAGGGAGCCATGGGTTGGGGCTACCACGAGCAGGTGGTAGTTGCAGTCCTGGGTAAGAAGAATTCCATTATGGAATTTGTATGAAGTAAAGACAGAGAAAGGTTCACTTCCACGCTCTGGGGGCATCAGGCCTTTGAAAACAAGAGGATCAAGGGAAGAAAGCGAGAAGGGAGAGGCTGATAATGCAGGAAGTAAAACCAAGTGTGCAGGAGAGGTCTAGCCTAGTGAGTCCCACAGCAGCTTTATGGGAATGCAGATAAAAGACACTCAATTCTCTGGGTGACTTTAATCCCTGCACTTGGGAGGCAGAAGCAGGTAGATCTCGGAGTTTGAGGTCAGCCTTGTTTACAAAGTGAGTTCCAGGGCAGCCAAGGCTATACAGAGAAAGCCTGTCTTAAAAAAAAAAAGTCAGCATGGCAGCAGTGGGGAGCCCATGATTTGCCTGAAGTAGCAAGAGTGCTTTAGTAGGCGGAAGAGGAGCCTGGGAAAAGGCATGTGGTTAAAGAAGCTAGGGCTAGAGAGATGGTTCAGCAGGTAACAGCACTAGCTGTCTCCCAGAGGAATCCGAGTTCGATTCCCAGAACCCACACGACAGCTCACTCACAACTGTTCAGGGGATCCTATGATGTCTTCTGGTCTCTGCAGGCACCAGGCATGCTCATGGTGCACTGACACACATGCAGGCAAAATACCCGTACACACAAAATAAAATTAAATAAATCTTGGGCTGGAGAGATGGCTCAGAGGTTAAGAGCATTGCCTGCTCTTCCTGAGGTCCTGAGTTCAGTTCCCAGCAACCGCATGGTGGCTCACAACCATCTGTAATGAGATCTGGTGCCCTCTTCTGGCCTGCGGGCATACATGGAGATTGAACATGTGTACAGAATAAATAATTAATCTTTAAAAAAAATTAAATAAATCTTTTCAAAAAAAAAATATAAGTTTCTCTAGATAGTAATGGTCATGTCATGCCCGGAAGACAAGAGTTCCACACCCAGTGCCGTGTAGGTTAGATAAAGGAGTGTCTTCTGAGCCTGTCTTTCTTTACCTCGGGTCTTGGTGTAATGAAAACTGATGTCTTTCATTTCTGACACAAAGCAATCTCAAGCTAGCTAAGTCAGAAAAGGATATTAATAGGAGCTGGAGAGATGGCCCAGTGGTTAAGAGTTCATCCTGCTCTTGCAGAGGACCTGCGTTTAGTTTCCAGCACCCACCTGTGCACCCATCTACCAGCACCTGTGTACCTGACGCCCTCTTCTAGCCTTTGTGGGCACTGCAGGCACATGCACCCCCCATACACACACACACCAGCACATGTATACATAATTAAAAATAAAATCTTTTAAGAAATAAACAATAAAATTTTAAAGGGGGTTGGGAGGTATATGTAGCTCAATGTTATATATAGCCCTGGCTTAGCATACATAAGAACATGGCCTCAGTTCCCAGCAAAACACACACACACACACAAAGCATCTTGGCACTGTTTTGCTACCATATGTAAAAATAATGCTTAAAGTAAGGGGCCGTATATATGTACGTTTGCATATGCAGAGCCCATCTTTAGCTGGAAGTGGAGGAAGCAATCACAGTGACTGTACACACTATTATTCATTTGAAAACAACAGGGTTCTTGGGTGTGGCATCTGGGAGAGGAGGAGATGACTGATAGCATCTCTTACCACTCTGCCACACCTCCCAAACTGCCCCGCACTAGCCTCCACCCCTTGAGGCCCTGCTCATTGTAAACCGAAGGGTAAGTAGAAGAGAAGGAGTTCTGATTAGGTAGGAAGAGAGAACAGGCTACTTCCTGTTGGACGGGCTGTTCCAGAGTTGTTTGGAATCCTAGCAGATGGCAGGTCCCTAAGTGGAGTCTCTCCATCAATATCCCATGAAAATGCTGGTCAGAGCTTCCTGGTCAACAGGAGAAAAGTAAGAGGGGCAGGAATATGCAGATCTGAGCTCAAAGGTGGCGCTAAGAAAGCACCTAGAGATAAACAGTCGTCCACAGACCTTTTCTTCCGGGAGCAAGGGAGCTGACCTTTAACAAGCCGGTGCTCTTTGCCAGCCACAGGGCTGGAAGCTTTATAGACATTATCTCATTAAATCTTAATTAAATGAAATATCAGGGAGGTGCTGCTGCTGTTTCACAGATGAGAAAACCAAGCCTCCCTGGGGTTGATAGCTTACTCATAGTCACGCAGGCCGTGGGTGACACAGCCAGGTCTCACACCCAGGTCTGTCTGCTCATTACTTCTTATCCTAGGCTGCTCTTGGATAATCATAGTGAGGGGTAGGTTTCTGAACTGGGAGGTTAAACGTGTGGGGGGATGGGAGTTGGGGAAGGGCAGAGGGCAACATTGGGTATCTTCCTCAATTGCTTTTCATCCTATTTTTTGAGATGGGGTCTTTCACCAACCCTGGAGCTTCCTGGTTTGGCTACACTGGTTGACTAGCAAGCCCAGGGATTCTCTTGTCTTTCCTCCTCAGCGTGGGATTACAGGCTGTGACTGTTAAAACAGAGATTTCACATGGTTGGGATTGAGAGGCAACTACTTTAGTGATTGAGCCAAGGTGTCTCCCTAGCTCCTGAATGGCCCCTTCTGGCGTTTTAAGTCTCTACCTGCTTCCTGGGTTTTTTTTTTTTTTTTTGATTGTGTCTTGCTATGCATCCCTAGCTGACTCAGAACTCACAGCTGTCCCCTCGCCTCAGTCTCTCAAACACTGAGATTATAGGCATGTAAAGTAGAAATAGAGCAGGCAGTCAGCAACATCTGCCGGAGCAAGGGCCTCAAAGGCTTGCTCATCACTCCTCCGGGGCATTGGAACAAACCTCTAGCCTGGCAGTACCAGAGGAACTTTGCCAGGGGCACCAGCAGGAGGGGGAGTGGGCTGTGTCAGCACCAGGGAGCTTCTGCAGCAGGCCAGAAGTGGGTCCTGATGGCTGTATGTAGTCCACAGGTCTTCCTATGACGCACAAGGTGAAAATTATGGAGCAGGAGGTCACTGAGGAAGGCGGACTGCTCTCTGAAGCCTTTCACCCAGTGTCCTGGCCAAAGGAAGAAGGATGCAGCATGGACATTCACAAGCCTTTCTTGCCTTTCAGGTCTCTCCGTCAGGATCTCTGGGTGCCCTCTCTGTCCCTCCTGTCCACAGTACCATGCCTGGAACAGGTGAGCTTCAAAAGAGGTTTCCAGACACCACAAGGATTAATATAAATAATATATTAAAGCTGAAAGGACCCAGGTGTGGTGGTGCATACCTTTAATCCCAGCACTTGGAAGACAGAGGCAGGTGTTCGAGGCCAGCCTGGACTATGGAGCAAGTTCCAGGACAGCCAGAGCTACCTAGAGAAACCCTGTCTCAAACAAAGCAAAGCAAAACAAACAAACAAAAAAACCTTAAAAGGCTTTTAACCTAAGTCAGCACTTCCTCAGCGTGTCTCAAAGGACATTAAAAATAAAGGCTGGGAAGAATAGGGTTCTGTGATCACATAAGTTTGGAAAATATTGGTAAGCAAAGTTTAAACAAACACTTGTTTTCATTTTACTTGCAGCATGGCTCTGCACTCAAGGGTATAAATCATTTTAAAGTGAATTGTATGAAAAACCTGGAGGAAGACGGGCTCCCAAACACATTTTCAGGGTTCTGTTTCTCCCAAAACACCTGTAGCATTTCACAGACCTAGATAAGGATATGTCCATCTGTCCTCTGGAAGCCTCATATGCTGATCTCTGCATGGTCTACCTTCCTTTTTCTTTTTAATCTTAGTTTGAATAGTAAAATATATGGTACTCTATCCATGAAACACATATTGGGATTCCAAACATGAAGAATATCTATCTACTTAGTGCAAACCCGCCCTTTTACAGAGGGTAACAATGAGTTTCAGGGTGGGTCGGGACAGGGCCAGGGCCAAGACGAACTTTGGGTTCCCTCTCTGTCCCTCCTGTCCACAGTACCATGCCTGGAACAGGTGAGCTTCAAAAGAGGTTTCCAGACACCACAAGGATTAATCTAAATAATATATTAAAGCTGAAAGAACCCAGGTGTGGTCCTGGGACCATGCACATTTTCTTTGTAGAGTCAGAGAACTGAGACTCTGGCAGCTTCTCTGCTCTCATGTATGCCTCATGCTTTCTCCCTATGCCTCTTCCTTTCCTGAGCTTCATCGTCTTCTCCCCTCCTGCCCAGGGTGTGTCCCGCAGATTTTGGCATCTGTCCTCCATGCATTTGGCAAGTCTTGGACTGACAGAACCAGCCGCACTGCTCTGAGGGCCTGGGCTGCTGAGAGCACTTGAAATAAAGGCCCTGCCAAGGATGGGCTGATGGGTGGGCCTTGATGTTCACATAGTAGAAGGTGGGCAGACAGGCGGGGGTAGGGAGATGGTAAGGCGCCCTTTGGGGATTCCAACAGGAAATTATGTGTTGGAAGGGCTGTGTCGCAAAGGTCCCCAGACCCAGCAACATTATTTTGGCCTTGTTTTTGTCTCTCTTTGTCCTCAGTAACGTCATCCTGTTCCCCTGGGAACAACAGCAGGCCTTCGTCTCCTGGCTCAGGACTCCATGCCAGCAGCCCCACAGCATCTCAAAATAACTCCAAAGCAGCAATGAATTCCTCCTCCGGCTTTAACTCCTCGGGGTAAGTGGACAGCAGCGAGGAAGCATCTGGCAGGCTCAGGGACATGTGAGGAGTTGGGCTGGTGCCATAGATGAGAACTGGAAATGGGAAATGGGGTAACAGTGGAGGTGGGATGGTGGGGGCAGAGTGAAGAGCTAGACTGGACTGCATCCCCAGGGAGTGAGGATTCTAAAAAGAAGCGCTAGCCAGCGAGCAGTCCTGGCAAGGGCCGATGTCAACAAAGCCAGAATTTCCATCCTCAGCTTTGATGGTGGAAATTTCCAAATGCTCACGTGAGAAAGGAGCAGGTCCTGAGCTGGACTCAGGAGCACTCCTCACCAGGAACTCGAATCACAGAATATTATGGCAGGAGTCTGGAGCTCAGGCATAGACCAACTCTGGCCCTCAGGTGTGGCTGGCTCACAGAGAGAAAAATGCTACTGAGATCTGTCTCCCAAGTCTGCTTGGGAGGCAGCAGGGCAGGCCCTGGCGGGTCTTAGCTCACAAGCTGAATAAAGTCCTGGAAAAGGTATTCTTAGGATAGGTGTCGTGAGATTCTTCCCTGGTGCAGAAGACGACAGATTTGAAGCAGGGTGTGAGGCTGGGGAGACAGTTCCTTTGGTAAGACGCTTGCTGGAAAGCGTGAGGACTGAATCTGACCTCCAGAATGACACAAAAAAAGCCAGGTTTGGCAGTGTGCTTGCAATCCCAGTGCTAGGGTGGAAGTGAGAGGAGAGGCCTTTGGGCTCCAGGCCAATGAGAGAATCTGCCTCAAAGAAGGTGGGCGGGCCAATGAGAGAACCTGTCTCAAAAAAGGTGGGGACAACACCCAAGGTTGTCCTCTAACCTCCATAAGTGTGCACACTGATGCATATATATAATTTTTTTAAAAAACAAATTTGGGCATGGTGGTACACACCTGTAATCTCAACATGTGGGAGGATGAGGCAGGAGGATTGTGAATTTGGAGGCAGCCTGTCTTGAACATGGACCCTATCTTTTCGTTTGTTTGCTTGTTTTTGTTTTTCGAGACAGGGTTTCTCTGTAGCTTTGGAATCTGTCCTGGAACTCACTCTGTAGACCAGACTGGCCTCGAACTCACAGAGGTTTGCCTGTTTCTACCTCCTAAGTGCTGGGATTAAAAGCATGCATCACCACTGCCCTGCTGGAGACCCTATCTTAAACACACAGGCAAACCAAGTTGAATGATAGGTTACACACTTGAGCTTTACAGGAAGAGATGAATCCATTTGTCCAAATCTAGGCAGTTCAGCAAGCAGCTTCTATTTGTCCAGATATTTCATAGTCTAGAAAGTCAGAATTTCTGAGGTCCAGGAGACCCAAATAATATTAGTAGTTTAATATTTGAGATATGATTCATACGCCATAAAATTCACAAGGTTGTACAATCATTACTGTTATCTAATTCCAAAATGTTTTCATCACCCCTTAAGGTCCTCTCTACCTGCCTTTTAGCTGTCACCTTCCCATCAGGTTTGTAACTCTGGCTTGGTCTGTTTCTTTTTTCCCAGACCGTGGTACCGTTGGAATCATCCCACCTACCTCCATTGAGGCCAAAAACTTCCTCCAGTTCCACCTGGCCCCTTATTCTCACCAGGACGCAGGGAGTCATGCCTTCCATGAATGGACAGACTACTTGGGAATGGGTGGGACAAACAGCCACTGCTGAAGAGCAAACCCACATTCTTGCCTTCTCGGGGATCCAGAGACTCCAGAGAACCAAACTGTGACTGCAGACCACGCTGATGCCTCAGGCTCTTGATAATCCTGCTGGGAGTTTACTGTGTTCTGCCGTGCCTGTGGCCACCTCCTTGCTCTAATGTTTTTGATGGCTTCACTGTGGCTTCATCTCTCAGAGAAAGGCCTTGTGCCATTGACTTCTGGGGACAGCCATTAGCTCAGTGCGCCAAGCTGTAAGAATGGTAGATCATGGTTTTGACTCTGCCCTCGGCCACAATCCTGAACAGATCGCAAATTCTGTGGAAAGACTGAAATCTCGCCTTCCACCAAAGCCTTATTTTGTCTAATTAGCACAGTTTCTAGTTTTGCCTCATTTTCTTTTATTCTTGCTCCCTTTTCTACAACCGAATGCTTCCATTCTTGTGTCCTACAAAGTCCCTTCCTCTCTGCAGATGGCAGAGCTACCCTTTGGCCATATACTTCCATACACAGGTATTCTTTGTTGCCCACATACACCCAAGTTCAAAAATACTTGTCTTTTCTCTGTTCCCTGTGTTTCTGTTTGTCCTGCCCCCTCTCCTTTCTCCTGACTATAGAAAATTGAGGAATCTGAGCGAGAGAGAGGGAGGGAGAGAGAGAGAGAGAGAGAGAGAGAGGGAGGGAGAGGGAGAGGGAGAGGGAGAGAGGGAGAGGAAGGGAGGGAGAGGGAGGGAGGGAGTGCCATGCCCAATATACTGACCACACTCTTGTACGTAGCCTTTTCTTGTTCTGCATTATGGCCTTTCCTCTCTAATGTGTAATTTTCCAGCAAAATGTCTAACTCAGGTGTGAATTTTGATGATGTCTCTGTAATATTTTATCTTCTATTAGAAAAGGAAGGGATACCAAAGTGTGGGATACTTCCACAGAGTTCCCACATGGCTGGGGCTCTGCTGACTTTGTGGGGAACATTGTATGTGGAGTCTCCTTTTGTGGGCCTGTGTGTTAAGCTGTCACATGAAGCCGTCCCAAGAATTGGTAACTTTTTTTTTTGTTTTTTAAAGACTGAATATCCAGGAAACTGTTGAGACTCAAAGGAATCTGTTTCTAAATATATTTGTATAGCAATGATGTAACTATTCCATGTTAATAAGCGGCTCCGAGGAGGGTTCCGTGCCTTTCTGCGTGTGCAGATAATGGAAATGGGGTGGGGCAAAGGAACTCCGTTTGGAACACGAAGTGGGTGCTGGTGGTGGCCTTATTGACACAGGGTCCCTAATTGCTTGGCGTTCTACTTTGTGGGGCAGAACTACTTTGGGAACTGTGTGAGAGATTGTCCCCCAATTTATAAGAGGGGGAATACGGTGAATATTTAAGGTCATGTCACTTAATGAGGTGGAGGCCAAGGCAAATCTATCTTGCATATCCTAAATATTAACTACTCAACTGTCGTTAAATACAATGGAAAGCAAATGCTGTTTAACAGAATAATTTCATAATGCTGTTTATTGGCTTGGGAAGACATCTCCACCTAGTGAGACACTGAAGACTAGAGAAGCTATTATTGAACTTTTTATTAGGTTAATTTTTATTGGTGAAAGGATTTTTTTATTATTGTTTTTTGAGTTTGAGATAGGGACTCACTCTGTAGCCCAGGCTGGCCCCAAGCTCATTATTTAGCCAAGTTGACCCTAAACTCACTGCAGTCCTCCTGCCTCAATCTCCTAAGTCCTAGGATCATGGGGGCCAGGAAGGCACCACATCTTAATAAAAATTTAAATACTTGGCAGTTCTTGAGGTAAATATTGATCTGTGGGGGAAGAAAGGCCTTTTCGTGTTACAGTTGGTGAGGAGAAACAAAGACAGGGATCTGTGCTACTTTTACACAGCTGCAGTCAAAATGCCTGTTAGAACTCCCTGAGGCAGGAAAGATTTCTTTTCGCTTACGGTTTCAGAGATGTCTATCATAGCTGGAAGGGCACAGCAGAAGGAAGTAATTCTTAGCACGCCAGAGAGGAAGCAACAAAAGGTTTTCAGGAAGGCCTCATCATGGCTAGATAGCTTCAAAGACCTTCCCCTAAGTGGGCCTCACCCCCCATAATGCCATCACATTATGAGTCTCTCAGAAGATTATTTCACTCCTGAGGCCACAGACCTCATGACCTCATCTGGAAATAGCTCTATAGGTAGGGGTGTGCCTTGCAAATGTTCCAGGTGTCTCAAAACCCAGTCAACTTTCAAGTCAAAATTAGCCATCTCAGGACTTAACATTTGTTGTAAATAATAACAGTATCAACATGGGAAACATATACACCAATCAACTGTTGTCTGTTGTACCTGGTGTTTGAATGGGACTCACATTCAGACTCCTGTTTGGTGCTATAAAGTGGGAGAAAATCCTGCTCTTGGTGGTGACTTTTGAAAGAAAAAAGATGTAGTTAAAAGGTGAGCTGAGAACACTAATGTGTACCTGCAGGCTACACCAGACACAGGAAGGTTGCTTGAGTCTAGGAATTCTGGGCTAGCTTTTGCAGCATAATGAGGCCCAGTTTCAAAAAGAAAGTGCATGTTGGAGGCTGGATATGTAGCAGAGAGACAGCAGAAGGAGCCGTCAGCAGTGATTTGAGTGCCCCCCAAAATGTATTGCCGTACAAGCATATCTGTGTCTATCACTGCACATCCACGTGTGTTACTGACATCAGAGTTGACCCTTTCTGGTTGCAGTACTGCCCACTTTGACATGCTGCCCAGGTAAGTACCTGAGAACAATCTCTAGCACCATCCAAAACTCTATTTTTCACCCACTGGTCCACATTTTGTCTAAAAAATAGGCAGAATGGTGGTGGCACACTTAGGAGGCAGGTGGATCACTGTGAGTTAAAGGCTAGCTTGATCGATATAGTGAGTTCCTGGCCAGAGAGGGTTACAAAGAGAGACTGTGACTTGAAAACAAAAATAAATACAAGGGTAGCTTAACTGCTTGGCCTCTAATAGCTCCTGCTCCCCATTGACTGGGGCATTCGCTGAGCAGGACCAAATTTGCAGGTGGGCATGGATTCAGCATTCATATCTGCAGGATTCTGTAGAATTCATAATTCCAAAGAAGTTTAATAGAAATTCATTTTAGCTGCTTTGCCATCTACAAGCATCTAAGAGACAAGCACCTAAGAGCAACACCAGCCAGTATGGAAGGTAAAGAAAGAGGAAAAGATTGTGGCTGCTGCCTGTTTCATACTATCTGCCTGTCTGTTTATATATTTACAGTAGGGTCTTGCCTTTCGCTGGCCTGGTACTCCAACATAGCTCAGATTCTGTAGAATTTTTTGTTTGTTTGTTTGTTGAATCCCTTGTGGCACAGGTTAGCCCAAGACTCACTATGTAGATCAAGATGATCCTGAGCTGCTGACCTTTCTGCCTCTGCCTCTCAAGTACTGGGATCACAGGCCTGCGCAGCTTTGCCCAGCTTCCAAAGCAAAGGAAGAGCTTGGGTCCAACCAGGGGATGATTTGAGTCAGGAAACCTGCCTCTAGCCTCCAGGTGTCTGGTCACAGGATCCTCTGGCATATCTCTGGAACTCCCCTGTCCCCTGGATCATTTTCTTCTCTGTTGCCTCTAATGGCTAGCATTGTTACTTGCACATACTAGGGCATTTAAGAGGTTTAAGCCCAGGCATGGTAGCACGTGCCTGTATGCACAACACAGGAGGTTGAGGCAGGAGGAATCAGAAGTTCCAAGCCAGCCTTGACTACAATAGTGAGCTCAAGGCAAGCCTGGGCTAGAATGAGATCTTGTCTCAAACACTGCTAAATGCAAAAAAAAGGAATTTTAAAGTGGATTTCCTTTTTTCTCTCTGAACTAGGAAACTGGAACTTTTCTACTCACAATCCCCTTTCAGGAGAGAAATTCTTACAAGACACCCCGCATTATATATATATATATTTCCTGGTAGAAAAATCATAGAGAATTTTATTTTAGGACAATTCTTTGATGTAAATATAATTTTACCAGTTAGAAAACACACAATCAAATCTGCATGCTCTTGAAATGGATCTTCTTGTCTATTTTTACAAAAAGCTTAAATCTTGGCTGTTTTTTTTTTTAATTTAATCTCTCACTATGTAGCCCTAGATGGCTTAAACTCACCATGTAGACCAGGCTGATTTCAAACTCACAAAGATTCACTTGTCTCTGCCTTCTGAGTGCTGGGAGGTTTGCGGAGGTTTGTGCCACCACACCAGGCTTGGCTAATATCTGATGCTATAGGATGTAGAGCATTTTTAAAATTTTGCAAAGTCGATCCATATTCTGACTTTATGATCATCAATGCTGAGAATACTGTTTCACTTAAATATGTGGTACAAAAATGTCACAGGTATATTGAGGGCCATTCAACAAACTGTTGAATTTTGTCCTGATCCCAAGTCTAAGTTCATATAACAAAATGTATGAAACATACTGCTACTCAATTGGCTACTCAAAAACACCATTTTTACATTTTTCATTTATTTACTTATTTATCTTATATTTCTGCCGCAGTTTCCCCTCCCTCCTCTCCTCCCAGACCCTCCCTCCATTCCACCCATCCCACCCCCTTTGTTCCCACCCCCAATCCATCCCTCCTCTGTTTCTGTACAGGAAAGGGCAGGTCTCCCATGTGTATCAACAAAACATGGCATATCACGGTGCAGTAAGATTAAGCACCTACCCACGTATTAAGGCTGAGTAAGGTGACCCATGTATGGGGGAGCAGGGTCTCAAAAGCCAGTAAAAGAGTCGAAGATAACCCCTGTTCCCACTCTTGGGAGTCCCACAAGAGGACTAAGCTACACAACTGTCACATATATGCAGAGTGCCTAGGTCAGTTCCATGCAGACTCCTTGGTTGTTGGTTCAGTCGCTGTGAGCTCCTATGAGTCCAGGTTAGTAGATTCTGTGAGTTTTCTTATGATGTCTTTGATCCCTCTGGCTCCTACAATCCATTCTCCTTTCCTGCAGGATTCCCCAAACTCCACCTAATGTTTGGCTGTGGGTCTCTGCAAGTTTGCACCAATTGTTGGATGAAGCCTCTCTGATAACAGTTGAGCTAGGCACTAGCCTGGTCACAGGCAATGGCCAGTTCAGGTTACATAGCTGCTACTGCTAGAAGTCTAAGCTGGAGTTTTCCTTGTAGATTCCCTTGTGCTAGGTTTTCACCCAACCCAGAAATGCCCCCCCCTTTCCAGGAGTCTCTTTCAGTACTCTCCTTCTCCAGCCCACCCATAACCTGATCATTCATGTTCCCATCCCCACCTACCCTCAGTCCACTCACAAAATCTCTTCTACTTCCCTTTCCCAGGAAGGTCTGAGTGCCCTCCCCTTAAGCCCTTCTTGGTACCTAGTCTCCACAGGGCTGTCTCCTCTCGTTTTATAATTCTCTCTAGTTCTGGGATTAAGGGCATGCACCACTACCACCTCGTTTCTGTGGAAAGCTAGTGTGGCTACTGGGATTAAAGGTGTGTGTCATTGTGGCTACTGGGATTAAAGGTGTGTGTCATTGCTGCACAGTCTGTGTAAGGCTGATTCTCAGGCAAGCTTTATTATTAAAATACAAATGAAATATCACTACGCACATCCTCACCCCCATGAGCAGTCACTTCTGCTTTTGATCTTAGCCATTGTGACAGGTATAAGA